GGGAGATAGGGAAAGTTACAGAAAATTGAATGAATACTTCCAAAGAATAGCAAGGAGAGACAAGAAGAGACAATGAACTATGCAAAGAAATAGAGGAAAATAATAGAAAGGGAAAAACCAGAGATCTTTTCAAGAATATTGGAGATGTTAAAGGAACATTCGGTGCAAAGATGGACATGATAATGGACAAAAATGGGAGGCACCTCACAGACGCAGAAGACATCAAGAAGAGGTGGCAAGAATACACAGGGGAATAATAACAGAATGATCTGGATGTCCCGGACAACCCACGTAGTGTGGTTGCTGACCTTGAGCTAGACATCCTGGAGAGTGAAGTCAAATGGGCCTTAGAAAGCATGGCTAACAACAAGGCCAGTGGAAGTGATGACATTCCAGTAGAACTATTTAAAATCTTAAAAGATGACACTGTTAAGGTGCTACACTCAATATGCCAGCAAGTTTTGAAAACTCAGCAGTGGGCAGAGGATTGGAAAATATCACTCTACATCCCAATCTCAAAGAAGGACAGTGCCGAAGAATCTCCAACTACTGTACAATTACACTCATTTCCCATGCTAGCAAGGTTATGCTCAAAATCCTACAAGTTAGGCTTCAGCAGTATATGGACTGAGAACTCCTAGAATTACAAGCTGGATTTTGAAGGGGCAGTGGAACTAGAGACCAAATTGCTAACATGAGCTGGATTATGGGGAAAGCCAGAGAGTTCCAGAAAAACATCTACTTCTGCTTCATTGACTACACAAAAGGCTTTGACTGTGTGGACCACAGCAAACTATGGTAAGTTCTTAAAGAAATGGGAGTGCCTTATCCATCTCCTGAGAAATCTATATGTGGGACAGGAAGCAACAGTTAGAACTGGATATGGAACAACCGATTGGTTTAAAATTGGGAAAGGAGTACGACAAGGCTGTATATTGTCCCCCAGCTTATTTTACTTATATGCAGAATACATCATGTGAAAGGCCCGACTGGAAGAATCCCATGCTGAACTATTTGCAGATTTAATCTTTCATCCTCACTTTGACTGTATTTACTGATTATGCTGCAAACATTTTGTTGCATTTTTTTGCTGATATTCACCTGGGTTTCATCACATTTATATGGCAGTATCTTTTCAGACCCTGATGTTGGGAAAGCGTGGAGGCAGGAGGAGAAGGGGACACCAGAGGATGAGATGGTTGGACAGCATCATCGAAGCTATGAACATGAATCTGACCAAACGCTGGGAGGCAGTGGAAGACAGGAGGGCCTGGCATTCTTTGGTCCATGGGGTCATAAAGAGTCGGACACGACTAAACAACAACAATCTTTTCTGTTGGTCTTCAGCTTCTCAGAAAGGGGGAGAAATGATTTTATTAAACAAAATAAAATTTGGAACCACAATCAAAAAGTGGACATCTTGATTTTTTCCCCCCTTCATGGGTTGTTTTGCTTAACAGGCTCAGTTTATGGTCAGTATTTAATTAAGAAAGGGGTTTCTCCCTTTCCACCATGCCATTAGTCAAGGGTTTCATGCTCAGTTCTCACTGAGCTGCTTTGGGGATTAATCTCTTATGGAACAGGTTCACTTGTGTAGCCTTTTGGTAGTTTGGCCTACAATTCTCATCAGCTCTAGCCAGCACACTTTCAACCAGGAAAGGGAGGTTGCCCTTTGCCCTCGGGCACTAACATCCAGGGCATCAAAATCTAGAACCAAATCTACCGGTGAGTATTACGAAAATAAACAGCAACACCTCCCAGTCCTATTTACTGTCTTCTTTTTTCAAAAGAGCATCTGCTGATTTGTTGTTGTTTTTTTGAAGCACCCCAAATTCTCCCCCCCTCTTTTTTTTTAATGGGGGCTCACACACACTTCATCCTGATGCATCCTGAGTGGGAAACAGTGCCATTTGCTTTAAAGGCCGAGAACACTGATTATGACTCCAGAAACCAGCATAGCTGATGATGAGGGATTGTCAGAGCTGCGATCCAAAAGCCCACTGTTATCCATCTTTGCCTTATGCCATTTTATCTATATGTCTGTAAATTTTGGAGTACTCTGGAGTTTGCAGACATCTTCCTCTTGCACAGAGATGATTGCGGTTTTGGCCACATAGGAAGGCTCTTTCTTGAGAAATTCATTCCCAACTTTCATGTTAGAACATAGGATGTATGTACAGTATCTAGTTTGTTTCACTATGAATTGCATTTTCTTTCAGTGTTTTCGAGACTCCAAACCTATACAAATTTATCTGGGTGATTAGACTAATTAAAGTAATACAGTCATAATGAAAGTGAGCATCATTTGTCAGTAAATATCCTCTGTGGTAATTTCTAAGGAACAGAACCCTCAGTTTCTTCACATTTACACACACTTCCTTTTCTACTAGCAAACAAACCTAAAGCTGTCACAGAGGAAGTTGGTCGGCTGATCCAAGACATTTTGTTGCCTGAGCGGCAAATGCTACCCACCAACCCACCCCTGTGAAGCTGCATAATGCTATAGTCCAGACAAGTTGTTTGAGACAGAAACGTTCACAAAGTCTTACTAATCTTGTGAAAACCTACAAATGCTTCTTTCTCACTGCCTTGCTGTTAAAATCCGATCTTAGTAAATTAAATAAGTACTGTAACCATTTGCTGGTTGAGGTAGTTGCCTCACTCTGCTTAACAGGAGCATCAGACCCGATAAACTAAATACTTTTTCAAGCATCTTGCAATTTAATGTTTAATGCCGTAAACCGACCAAATAAAGTCAATGGCCTTGTTTACATAGCACTTCAAGCCAAGAATCCTGATTTAATAAACCACCAGTTAAGAAACCAGGAAGAGAAAATTCCATGTTACATATGAACCTGAATTATGCAAATCAGCAACAAGCTCTGTTCGGTTTCAATAATCTTCTATGTCCATTTCAGGTATAACATAAGTCATTCCCTTCTTTCTTTTCTTTTTCTTTTTTGCTTGCTTTCAAGAAGGTATGAATAAAGAGGGCGCAATCAAGACTGCATGTGCCAACATGGCACTCATATACATCGTGGTTTATTAAGCCTGAGCAGTTTAAAAGGATGTGATAGTGAGATATAACATAGAGGGAATATGGTTAGTATACCATTTTGCTCTCTCTGCAAACCAAAGTTTTGTTCCTAATCCAACTACCTTCAAAAAGACAGGTTCTGGAAACAGTTTAGACAACTAATTTAAATTCTTGGTAGAATCTGCATGTAATGTTTGCTTAGAAGGTGTTTGCTTAGAAGGTAGTCTATAATGTAGGGTTCCTACAACAGTTGCTTGCAAGTAATTACTGTTAAACTCAGTAGAACTTATTTCTGAATTAACATGCATAGGCTTTAAATCAGCCGCAACAGGTATGTATAGGTGCTGTGAAATTTATATACTGTATTCCTGACATAAAACAACAGTGTGTTAAGTATTTTTTCTTAATTAAAAGTTTCTACAATTAATCTCCCGCCGCCCCATATATCAAATTAATTTCGGTATTTAAGCAATATATAAATACTGTTTACTTCAGGGTCAAATGTATGGCTTCTTTGCTTCTAGAACTTATTTCAAAGTCTGCATGTTCTACAGCTTCACCAGATGGAGACTGCAACTTGGTGTTGAAGTATTATGACTTCTTCTTCTTGCTTCTTACATAACAATATGTTTCTCTAAGGTGTTTTCTGAGAGCCACATAGCTGCATAATAAATGTTTAATATTTACTCAGTTGTGGCCCACAGCTTAGAGCCCTTGTCCAGCATATTTTGTTCTTGTGAGAATGTAGGGCCTTTCCTCCTCCTTTTCCCCACCCCGAACCCCATAGATCCACTCTTGTTGTGGAATGCTGCACGGAATTGGATGAGCCATTGCAGTGCGCAGTGGACACGGGTGGCCCAATTCCCTTCTGACAAGCATAGCGCATTTGGTGACCTTTGGCAGGGAGAAGGGATGGTGGACTGTTCCCCTCTTGCACTGGCCCAACAAAGGAGAGCGCTTGAAGCCCTTTGAAAGAAAAGCAACAGCAAAAGGCATTCTGCACCAGCAACACAATCCTTACTTTCTGAAACAGCAACTTGAAGTTTTATGGACCTTTTTGGCCACTTACATAGACTTTTAAAAACCTTCTGAAGCCGTGCATATCTGCCATGTCGGAAGAGGAGTGCAAGTCTCCTATTTTAAAATTACTGTTTATGTATAGGTTTTTCACAAGTATTTCAATAAAATTTCACCAGCAGCAGCACCAACTGCATCACACTAGAACAGCCGCCCGCCCTCCCAAGTACAAGAGGCTTTCACTCTAGTAGCAACATTACCTCCACATTCCTACATGGGGGTTAGATATTCCACTACATAGGGTAGCACTAGTATAAATCGCTGAGCATCATAGTCAAGAGAAGAGGACATAGTGAAGGACAAGTCAATCCCTACATTTTAGATTGCAATTCTATTCACTTAAGCAGGGGTAAAGAGTCCCTGAACTGAGAATTACTTTTGAGCAGACATGCATAGAACCGCACTGTTAGTCTTATGTTTTTTTTTTGCTACATAGTCCTACACAATTTAATGAGATTACAAAAAGAACAGCCACTTGCAATTTTACCTTGTACTATGCATCCCATAAAGAGGATTACACAGAGAGCCACGAAAATCCTCCCATTACATCTGACAAGCATTTTTGTTTTGACCTGGGTACTTCCACACTCCGCCAACCGTCTCGGCAATTTTGAAAATGTGACAGGAGAGTGATTGCCCTAACAAAAGGTTTATGAAACCTCAAACCCAACCCAGGACTTGCGTCACAACTTCCTGAGCTCGGAAAGTGACACATCCAACATCAAAACTGAACTTTTTTCTGAAGTTTTCAAGCCACTTGTCGCTGAAAGAACATTAGCTGAAGGCTTCCAGTACCTACTTATATGTTCCTACTTTGAAATAAGTCTCTCCAAATTCAGAGGGAGATGCTAACCATCAGTCATTCATAGGAATGCAGCTTTAAGTTTAATTTTTAAAGAAATTAGAATTAAGTATCACAATTTCATGCTGCAGTCCTATAGTATTAGCTGGAGTCTGAGGAGACTTCATAAGACTTAATTATTTGCCATGCAAGTAATTTTTAACAAGTTTTTGTTTTCAGGTAAGTAAGGGTCCACCCGGCTGACTTTACAGTAAATTATTTCATAATGAGATGAGCAACATCATTAATTAAATAATAATATTAAATATATACAGTATAACATGGTAGATACTGTATTTGAGTAATAGTACAGTATTATTGCTTCTTCTTTTTACTGTCTTAGTTCTTGTAACCCATCATGAGAAAACATATTATGCATCATAGATATATGGTATTAAAATGTTACTACTGTACTCCTTTCATGCTTCTTACTTAGCTTCCTAGGGCTGATTGTCTCTGGAAGGAAAAACACTGAAGCCTTCCAGCTTCTTGATCATTTGTTTTCAGGACCCTAAATAGGACGGTGGCACTTCACCAAAATACTCTCAAGGAGAAGTTCTTGAGCGATGAGCCTGGTTGCAGTCTAGGCATTTTAATGCCTAGTTATATCTTTATAACAAACCAGACTGCACAGATGACCCTCGCCAAAGTGAGACATTAGCTAAAGTGAGGCAATCACGTCAAGTGGGTCAGTGATAGAACAGACAGCTGCCACCACTCCTCCCCATTCTCCTCCAGATTGCCAAAGTGTTTCCCAAAGCTCACTAGCTTTTTCAACAATGCCTGACTGCAGCAGATCCATACATTGTAGAGTATACAGTAATGGAGAAACAATAGCGTTCCCCTTGGGGCAGCAGCTGCTTTATCTTTCACCCTCTTCTTCAGCTTCTATGGGTAATATAAGAGAGTTGTCACTGCCGCCGCCACCACTATTCATGCTGCCACTCTGTGCTTCATAGGGACCCGGAGCACATTGCGAAAGGGGGTGCACACTTTACTTCCTACCATAAGAGCAGGAGACTTAGTGCTTTCTTGATCTCAAATAAAGAGATCCCATTAAAACAGGCCTAGAAGATTCCTAGATGGATAACAACAGAGGAAATGTCGACACAGGACATGGTCGCACTGGATTTCTTGTGCCATCTTCCCAGCCTGTATTTCTTCACCAAACTTCTGCTTGTTGTCTCTCTTTCGAAACATTTCTTGTTGGGATGTGTGGGTATTTGAAAAGTGCAAATCATAATGGTGAAAGGCAGGTAAATGAACAAAGAACACATTTCTGACATTAAGAGAGGAGTTAGGATGGCAAATTTTGAACTGGCAAGCCTACTAACCATAATACTGTTTTATTTTAGTTTAACATCTTTGGCTGTGAATTCATTTGTCTCTCTAGTAGACTGCCATTCATTATTCAGAGATAAGACAAAATATGTAAAAATGTATTTCTCTCTTCCTTTAATAAACAGTTAAGTGATTCTGACAGTTTATATGTGAGATACAGAGCCAGTGTGATTTAGGACAGTGGTTCCCAGCTTTGGGAAGCCTTAGCTCTGCTGGCCATGGTTTCTGGGAGTTAATCTTGTTAGTCTGTTGCTGCAAAAATAAGAAATGTTATACAAAAATAAGAAGGCCTTATGTTCCTTCAAAGATTAACCAATGTAGCTAATGTGGTGGGCTGTAATCCACAAAAATGTATGCCAAAAATGTTGCTTCCCTAGGGTTTAAAAAATTAGATGCAATAAGCAGCCTCTGTGGGAAGCTAATTGGGCAGAATGACTCTGTAGCTTCAACACTGTAGCAGTTTCCTTTGTGTCATAGAAAACTTTTGCTGATAATATCGTACTTTCCATGGAATTTCTTCAAATTGTGAAAGAAATAAAAACCATATATCACTTTAACAAAGTGATACACATACAAAAAGTATGGACAAGTACAAGTACAAATAGCTCCAGAGCTAATGAAGTGGTTGGGCCAAAGCCGAAAGGACGCTCAGCTGTGGACGTGCCTGGAAGTGAAAGGAAAGTCCGATGCTGCAAAGAAAAATACTGCATAGGAACGTGGAATGTAAGATCTATGAACCTTGGGAAGCTGGAGGTGGTCAAACAGGAGATGGCAAGAATAAACATCGACATCCTGGGCATCAGTGAACTAAAATGGACAGGAATGGGCGAATTCAGCTCAGATGATTATCATATCTACTATTGTGGGCAAGAATCCCGTAGAAGGAATGGAGTAGCCCTCATAGTCAACAAAAGAGTGGGAAAAGCTGTAATGGGATACAATCTCAAAAAGGATAGAATGATGTCAATACGAATCCAAGGCAGACCAATCAACATCACAATAATCCAAGTTTATGCACCAACCACCACTGCT